GCGTGTGTGTGTGTGTGTGTGTGTGTGTGTGTGTGTGTGTGTCTGTTGGAGAGCGCTCGGTTCGAAGGCCCGAGCACAGATTCGCAACGCAGTGACGGGGTTTTCCACAAGTCATTCAAATCATCAACTAATGATATCTTACTTTTCATACCAATGCACTAAAGATGCACATGAATGCACGCGTATTTAAATATTTGTAATTACTAAAGAATGAAAGAGAGAGAGAGAGAGAGAGAAACTTCTTTTAAAAAATGGTTCTTTTAGACCTTTGCTGTCTGCTGGAGAGGAGCGTATAGGATGTTGAATTAAACCAGTTGTAAAGTTTCCACGAATCACTTGTAGTGTTGGTACATCAGAGGGTCTGTAGGCCAAACAGATATCCATTACTGCAGTTCTTCATTTACATGTTAACATGATTCAACAATAAACAAACTTTACACCCCAGTGAATAATTTTTTTCCCACTTGCATTCATTATGTCATAATTTGCTTTCAAATGTTCACACCTGTAGTTAGTTGTAAATAAGAACTCTATTTTTAAAATGATTACATCCACAGAGATGCATCCGCCGGACAGTGGCGTGGACAGCCCTGGGTTCAGTGATGTAAGTACAAAGAAAAATGCTGCATAAAATAAAAGGCTAATAAAATCCTTTATATTTATTTTTTTAAATTGCCTTTATTTCTAGACAGCGACCACTGAACTAATAAGCCGTACAGTAAGTTGAGCTTTGTGCATATGCCTTTACACTGCGACTATAATATGATGTGCAGTTTGACAATCTGTTGAGTTGTGTTGTTCTGCAGGACAGTGAGCACACCTCCTCCGCTGACGAGTGGGTCCAGCAGGGCCCCAATCTTCCTCCTCTTTTCCCTCCTCATCCACCTCCACCTCCACCTCCTCCTCCACCTCTTCCCATTTTACCTCTTCAGGAGGATCTAGAAGATGTAATGGGAGTATTAGATGTAGCATCTTAAACTCAAGTGTAGCTGCCACTGTTTTGGTAATGTTCTTTTTCCTCCCTCTCTGCAGTATTTTGCCGATGATGAAGAAGATTTTTAATAAATATATATATTTTTAAACTTAAAGATCATTATGGTGTCCTTCTCTCATTATTATTGATCATATAAAATTATCACTGGTCTACACACAGATTTCTCTGTAAAGAAAACCAGAGACAATTTAAACTGATTTCTTCTTATTTTTTATTTATTATTATTGTTGTTATTATTATTATTTTTTTTGTAAATGTGAACAATGTGCCATGAGGAAGTTCTTGGGGGTCCCTATACATGATTAAATATTAATGTTATTATTGGTGATATACTTGCTGGATAGATTAATTACAGTTGTGCAAAAAGACTCACAGATATTCACAGAAGGTGCTGGAACCCTACAGGTCATACTTAGAAGGGAGAGGTTATTATGTGAGTATAGGAGAGCACAAGTCTAAGTGGACATCCATGACATGCGGAGTCCCACAAGGCTCAATTCTTGCACCGCTCTTGTTTAGCCTGTATATGCTCCTATTAAGTCAAATAATGAGAAAGAACCAAATTGCCTATCACAGCTATGCTGATGCAATTAAGGTCAAATTAGTGGTCAAATATCGGCCTCTACCAAACGGTTGATATGTCACTGTATGATAAAAATACCGGAATTCATTCACATACTACGAAAATCGGAAAATATGAACTATAATACAAATTTATTTTAAAACATAATCAAAATAAAATAGTTTTGTATATCGAATCTTCTTTATTTAAATATGCCATGAAATATTTCAGGTTTTCATTTTAACACAAGAAATTATATGTTTTCTTGTTTTTTAACAATAAACAAAAATAAATAACACAAATAACTAAAAGTAACAAAACCAAAGACATTACATTCTATAAAAAATAGCAAAAGATAGTAATATAATGGAATTTTAGGCTTTTATGATTCAAGAAACACGCCGTCAATTGTGGTAGCGCAACAGGATTTTTTTTCGTTCTTTTTTTAGATAAATTAACATTTCTTTGTAAACCAGCAATGCTGTGCAGTGCAGGTATCCTCTGGCTCCTTCAAGGAAACTGTTTTTAGAGTGTGTTTTCCTTTTCTTACATGGAAGCATTGTAGAGGATGTGCTTGTCGAGGGAGCATCATCTTCATCCAGGGACTCAAAAGAACTGTCACCAGCTACCTCTTCTCGGATGGGGTGATAATCCGGATCCTCTATTGCAGTGGTTCTCAAACCTCTCCATGAAGTACCCCCAGCTCTGCACATTTTGTATGTCTCCCTCTATCTGACACACCCACTTCAGGTCTTGCAGTCTCCAATAATGAGCTGATGAGTTGAATCAGGTGTGATAGATGAGGGAGACACAAAATGTGCAGGGCTGGAGGTACTCCAGGACAGGTTTGAGAACCACTGCTCTATTGGGTCATCAACATCACCGAGATCAGCATCAGAGTCTTGGGGGTTTTCTGATACAGGGGCCTGAAGAGTGTGCATTCTTGTACAATAGAAACGGTTGACATCCATCTAGTAATTGTAAAACAACAACAACAACAAACAAATAAATAATCTCTTACAATTTTAGTAATGTTAGTACAGCGGCATTTGTCATTTGAGAAGTAATTGCCTCTGATGATTATGATTTCCACTGCCTGCAGCGTTTGTGTTGGTTTTTATTATTATAAATCCAATATAAATATTATTTTTTTTTTGCAATGCATACAATTATAACACCTTTTTGAGTTTTCTGTTAAACCTACTTTTTCAAAGTCCTTCTAGATCATTTGTCCAGTTAACTTAACCCAAATTATGTACCATCTAGATACCCTGAAGAAATGAAAGCTGTCATACTAATGTTGCCCACTAGAGAGAGCCACAGGATAACAAAAAATTGTGTGTTGCTAGAGATAGATAGATAGATAGATAGATAGATTGATGAGTAGATAGATAGATAGATAGATAGATAGATAGATAGATAGACAGACTGTGGGTTTCATTAGGTGGCCGATGTATCAAAATCTAAAGTGGACCACTTGAATAGTAATCTCTGAATTTTCACAGTAACACTGAAAAGGTTCAGACTAAAAGTTGCCATAGGAAGACTATCAATACAACATACTTGAAGAGTGACTTCTCACTGGACCAGCTATCCCAAATTCTAAGTCTAACCCCAACCTCTATGGCTCCCCCAGACCCTATCCACACCCTAACCCTGAAAGTGTCAATGCAGCAAGAAGGGAGGGCAGTCATACAATCAGTGGCCACTGACAGATTTGTCAAGATCCTGAGCTGAGCTGAGGAAATTACAACAACTACTGGAAGCAACAGTTTCTGATTCTAAGCACCATGTAAGTGGATTAACATTAACTGCTGAATTGTATTAAATGTTTAATTTGAGATTTAGTTATGTTTAAATGAAACTCTTTTGCATCGGGAGCTCTGGGTCATTCCTGCATAAACTGCATGATGAGGTAAATTGGAAAATGCCAATACATAATTACAAGCTTGTGCACCATTTAGCCTGCAGTTATTAACACTGTACAAATAGCCTATAGTGTTTTGTCAGAAATGTTTTATTATAAATTTACTGTTATTACTTATATCAAATATTGGGGAATATTTTATAGAAGTTGATTTTGTAGTTTCTGCATTTTTTTATTACAAATTCCATAATTTATTATTACTTATTATTTATTTTAAAAACCACATACCCCCTCCATCTTACTAATATTAGTCAGTTAAATTCTGGATTCTATGCAAGAACTACGTTAAATTTCATTAGGACAAATGAGAAAATAAAAGAGTAGCTTTAGTAACTTATTTTTCTTCAAATGTTCAGTTCTAATTAATTTTAATTGAAGTAAAATGTTAATTCGGTAAGAGCCTGATTAAAGATAAATATAAGTGTTTTATACAGCACAATTTAACTATTTACAAATGTTAGTTCACCCAAAAAAATAAAATTGTTATTGAACTCAACATGTGTTTCAAACATTACAGTAATTTGAGAAATTCAAGAATTTGTTTGTCCGGTAGAGATCAAGGGTAACCAAAATGGTTTAGTAATGAGGGTGAGGAAAGGATGACATAATTTAATAGTGTTAAATATTCTGCATTCTAGCTCAAAATTAACGCTTTACTGTCAAGTCTTGTTTCTGTGTGATAAAAATGCATTATTAAGTTTGTTGCATTTGCAGAGAGATTCATTAACATCTGTCATTATCTGTTTGTGTCCTGTTTTATTAAGTCATTTATTTACCCCACATAACACAGCAAAACATTCACAGGGCTTCACAACTTGTGGGCCGGATGGGCTGGATTTGTCCAGGGCCAAATGTTAACCTCAGTCCAGCCCTGGATGCAATGGAGATTTATTGCTCTGGTAGTGACATTTTGTCACTCATTGTGCTTGTTTATTAGCTCCTCCATGGGGAGCAGTATTGGCATCTGTCAGTGTATATTTTGTTAGCATCTCATAACTAAGAAATTATATTGGTAAATAAATAAATACCAGCAACGGTAACCATTTAACTGTGATATCTGAGACAACAGGAGAAGCAAAATGTAAATATCGTGTCCTTTAATTTTTTTCTTTGTACATTTTTGCAGGAGCCATCCAGGTGAAAACTTAGTGTACTGCCTTCTGTGCTGCAAACCTCAATATGACATCTCTGATCATCTAAAGAGGTCTTGTATGACAGACGATGGACCTGAGGAAATAGAGAAAGAAAAAATGAGGGCTGTAGAATCTCACAAGAAGTGGGTAATGGAAGGAAGAGTTTTGAACTTTACGGAGGTTATTGGACATTTGCAAAAGGACTCATCCTGTCATTTGCTGGCTGAGTACTTTAAAAAAAAGGGATTTTTCATAGTGGGTCAACCACAATCGGAGCAAGCTCGGTTACAGGAGCGGTAAGTTACACGACCATATGTGACCCTGGACCACAAAATCATTCTTAAGTCGCTGGGGTATATTTGTAGCAATAGGCAAAAATACATTGTATGGGTCAAAATTATTGATTTTTATTTTATGCCAAAAATTATTAGGACATTAAGTAAAGATCATGCTTCATGAAAATATTTTGTAAATTTCCTACTGTAAATATATCAAAACTTAATTTTTCATTAGTAATATGCATTGCTAAGAACTTCATTTTGACGACTTTAAAGCAGATTTTCTCAATATTTAGATTTTGTTTTAGAATATTTAGAATATTTTGCACCCTCAGATTCCAGATTTTCAAATAGTTGTATCTCGGCCAAACATTGTCCTATCCTAACAAACCACTCATCAATGGAAAGCTTATTTATTCAGCTTTCAGATACTGACCAGGTCTCAATTTCGAAAAATTGACCCTTATGACTGGTTTTGTGGTCCAGGGTCACATATGATTTCTTGCTGCTTTGTATTTCAGAACTGCTCATAAACATTGTTATTTAGGCCATCATCCTTCAGTTATCATAATATTGAATATATTGTAGTTGTGTGTTTTCATCACTATTTGTGCACTGACTTGCATTTTTTATCACAATATCATATTAGGTTACAGCAACTCACCCTTGTGAGGGAAGAGATGGCGGACATAGTCAGCAGACTCCACAAAAACAAAGTGGTGTCATCCAGCAGGAAAACATCCCTCCGTCACTACTGCGTGGCCACGATGATCCTGCGACACCAGCAAAGCGCCAAATCTGTGATTGATTTCACGGTAATGCTCAGTCCGCAGCGTACATCTGTATTTCTGTACATTATGAGATTTGAAGCTGCAGATAAATCTCAAACACACCCAGTAAGTGGTCATACTTAGACCTCCCGTTTCACACACAGTACATATAATTAATGACCTCTTCACCAGATCAAAAGGTTGCTTTGACTTACTTTATTACAGGTGGAGCAGTGGATTGCTAGGGAAGAAGTGAGTGATGGGTCCTGTATTCACCTCACTCCCAAAAGTGCTCTGGAACAACTCAGCTTCACGCTAAGCAGGGAAGAAGAAGAAGTAAGTCAATAGTTATACAGTGTTCAAATACCCAGCATCTCTGAAATGATTAGAAAGTAATCTTTAACCCCCCCCAACAGTATTTTAATGTGTACTTTACAATGATCCGCACTGACTACTTACACAAACAAGCCCAGGAAACGGACGACAAAGGCAAGTTTTTCCTTTCTGCGTCTGGCGCACCACTGGCCAATCCTATGGCAGATGTTAAACGGCTTTTCCAAACGTAAGTGTTTTGTCACTGACATACATAAACAGCTGACTGTTCATTTCACGTCTCTCATACATGTTGCTATTGCACACAGTTATAAACACCTGCAGAAACAGGTGCAGGAGCTCCATACTTGTGGTGAGAGCAGTACTGCTGCCTCTACCGAAGAACATGGAACACTTACCCAGGAGGGGTGAGCAGACCGTAACATTTATCTTTTTGTAAACCCAGCGAATCTATAAATGTTTGGGACATCATGCAAATAACTGAGCCTTTTCTTTTGTTTCCAGCACATCTATCCAGGCCATATGTGCATCAGTGTTTAAACTAAGATACTGGGATGCCTTTAGGGACAAATTCCCCGTTACAGTAAATGGGAATGCTCCCACCAAGCAACAGGCAACAGAGGCGGGGTTTGAAAACTATCGTAGTTATTACCACAAATGGAGGGATGTTCAGTACCAGCTGCGTCTCAGATATGTGCTGGGTAAGTTTTTGAATTAATTTCTCTAGTTTTTCTTGCACTGCATCATGGCATGTGATGGATATTTGGTCTTGTAGGCTGCTTTAGGTTACAATGCGCTTTCTCTTTGACAGATCAGTCAGTGGATAGGAAGGGTACCAAACCTCAGGAGTCTAAAATTCAGAGGATCATCGATGCACAGGTTGACTGGACCACCAATAAGCCAACAGTGGCTGACGTGCAACAAGCTTGGGCACCTCCAGTCTCTACAGGACACAGCATCGAAAATGACATGTCCATCATCAAGTCTATCGTAGATCAGAAGTGGAAAGGGCTGGCTATCAAGCAGTTTGAAATAAAAGGCAAAGGTACTTAATAGTAAAAGCGGGTTCTGAATGTAAACACAAATAAGGGTCTCTGCACAAAGGTAATGATATTTTCTTGTCTGAAAATACCATATCTCCAGTGTCTGCTCTTATCTCCACAGGAGTGATCACAACTATGCCTTTTTCCAAAAACGACATCATCTGCGACTACCATGGCACTGTCATCTCTAAAAGGGAGGGAGAGGAGAAGATGGCTGCTCTGGCTCCTGGGGAACACTCATACAATTTTTTTTTTAGGGGAAAGGGTGGGGAGCCCCTGTGCATTGATGCACAACAGTTCCCTTGTAGCTGTCACCAGGACAAAGACTGCTTCGGAAGAAGAATAAACCACTCAAGACAATTTTTTAATGTGCATGCCCAGAGGTTCACAATGGCTCTACCTAGTGGGCCTGCTGAAACCATTTTATTCCTTGCCACAAGAGACATTAAACTAAACGAAGAAATATTATATGATTACGGAGTGACAAGGAAATCATTTCAAGGAGAAGGAGCAGATCTGGACTGGCTCGATGACTGAACTGTCTGAACTGGTCCCTCCTAAGCTAGTTGTGAAAAGTTCAGACTTTTTTATTGCCATGGACAGTTGTTAAAATGTTTTGTTGTTTGCTGATTTGCTAATCACTTTGTTAATTTATTTATTCATTTATTTTTCTTTGTTTACTTATTATTGTTTTCTTTGCATGCAATATTTACGTATATGATGTTTACATTATGTTAATCTAAGTGTTTTATTTATTTTATTTTTTAAATTTTGTATTATTCTTATTCTTGTTGTTAATCGTTTTATTATTATTATTAGTAGTAGTATTATTGTCGTTAAAATGCATATACTTTGACTGAAGTCGTCAAACAGAGACCACAAACTTAACATATTATGCCAATTTTTGCTTTGCTAATCACTTTATTACTCTTTTATTTATTTATTTATTTTGTTTATTTATTTTTCTGATTTAGCATGTAAGATTTGCTCATAACATTTATAACATTAATTTAATTGTTTTTTTTTATTATTCTTGTTGTCATCCTTTTTATTATTATTATTATTATTATTAGTAGTAGTAGTAGTAGTAGTAGTAGTAGTAGTATTGTTGTTGTTCTGGATATTTTTTAAATAAACATTTGTTAAACAAGTGTGCTTTTCTCAGTAGTCTTTACTTTGCCAGTTTCATGAAACCTAGATTGTCCCTCTTCTTTTAGTCACCAGCTGCTTCTTGTTCAGGTTTTTTATCCCATTCCCAACGGCCCATGTCGCACAAACGTAAGCTGGCCCAGACCTTAGAGGACCTTGAACCTGAACTAGTTGTCAAACTGAGGCCCTACACAAGTCAGAAGTGTACTAAGCAGGAGAAACTGACAGGACTCCAAGCTGCGTACTTCGATCTTCAAATGGACCGGCTGAAAATCACTGGTATGTTTACATTTTCCTTTCCATTGTGCGTTGAGGCTTCATAGCTATATATCCTGTATATATATATTTATATAATTTTGGCTTGACATGAGAGCTAACTTGTTTGTTTGTTTGTTTGTTTGTTTGTTTTATTATTATTCAGATACCAAGGGCCTCTCAGACAAGGCAGATGTAATAAAAGACACCGGTGAGAGAGATGGTTTATGGAGTCCTGGGTGGAGCCCTCGGGGAACCAAGGAACTGCGAGCCTACCTGGGAGAGAGAATTAAAACAACTTTAAAGAGAAGAAGAAGAAGGGAGCTGGTTGTGCAGCAGGAGAAGGACAAATTAAATAAATCCTTCCAATGCTAGTTGTCTAACATTTTGACTATTTTATTGCCATGGACAGCTGTTAAAATCTAAAAATGTTCCTTTGTTTGTTAATTTGGTAATCACTTTATTGTTTCATTTATTCTTTTTTTATTTTAATTTCATTCATTTATTTATTATTGTTTTCTTTGCATGTAAGATTTACTTATATAATGCTTAAAACATTTAAATTTGAGTAATTTTTTTTATTATGTTGTATTATTCTTATTCTGTATTATCAACATTATTATTATTATTATTATTATTATTGTTGTTGTTGTGAAAATGCATATATTTTGACTCAACTTGCCATATAGGGAACCCAAACTTAAAATATTATGCCATTTTTTGCTTTGCTAAGTACTTCATAACTCTTATTTTATTTTTTTTATTTTTTTTATGTTTTAGCATGTAAGACTTGCTTATAACATGTATAACATGTTAATTTAAGTGGTTTTTTAATATATACAGTATATTATTCTTTTTCTCCTCCTTTATTATTATTATTAGTAGTAGTAGTAGTAGTGTTGTTGTTCTGGATATTTCTTAAATAAACATTTGTTAAACAAGTGTGCTTTTCTCAGTAGTCTTTACTTTGCCAGTTTCATGAAACCTAGATTGTCCCTCTTCTTTTAGTCACCAGCTGCTTCTTGTTCAGGTTTTAACAAACGTAAGCTGGCCCAGACCTTAGAGGGCGTGGAACCTGAACTATCTGACAAACAGAGGCCCTACACAAGACTGAGGGTCAGTAAGCAGGAGAAACTGACAGGACTCCAAGCTGCGTACTTCGATCTTCAAATGGACCGGCTGAAAATCACTGGTATGTTTACATTTTCCTTTCCATTGTGCGTTGAGGCTTCATAGCTATATATCCTGTATATATATATTTATATAATTTTGGCTTGACATGAGAGCTAACTTGTTTGTTTGTTTGTTTGTTTGTTTGTTTTATTATTATTCAGATACCAAGGGCCTCTCAGACAAGGCAGATGTAATAAAAGACACCGGTGAGAGAGATGGTTTATGGAGTCCTGGGTGGAGCCCTCGGGGAACCAAGGAACTGCGAGCCTACCTGGGAGAGAGAATTAAAACAACTTTAAAGAGAAGAAGAAGAAGGGAGCTGGTTGTGCAGCAGGAGAAGGACAAATTAAATAAATCCTTCCAATGCTAGTTGTCTAACATTTTGACTATTTTATTGCCATGGACAGCTGTTAAAATCTAAAAATGTTTCGTTGTTTGCTAATTTGGTAATCACTTTATTATTTATTCATTTTTTTATTTTATTTTTATTCGTTTATTTGTAATTGTTTTCTTTGCATGAAAGATTTACTTATATAATGTTTATAATGTTTAGATTTAAGTTTCTTTTTTATTATTTTGTGTTATTCTTATTCTTTATTATTATTATTATTATTATTATTATTAGAAAAATTACAACAGCTCCCCCCGACCTAGCACCCGTCTAGGAAGGTTTAGAGTAGGAAGACTGAGGCTGCGTGCACGGGCCCACGCTTGCCAGACTATACCACATCGTGTGAGATTATCTCCACTCTAGGAGCTGGGCCTGTCTAAGCATTGGGCCTAAAAAGTGAAAGTTAGGTTTATCATCGTTGGGTCTGTGACGGGTAGGTTTAGGCTGTGGTTTAGTTCAGCTTTAGATTTAGCAGTACTCGTGTTGAACCGGCTAGGTTTCAAATCGCTGAGGTTATGGCGGTTAGGTTTAGAGCGTGGTTTGGTCCAGCACTATAATTAGATCTGAGTAGATGTGAGAACACGAATTTCTTGACGGAACTTGCTCCAGATCGGCGAACCAGACCGCAACTCGAAAGTCGCAGTCCGATAATCCCGATCCAGCATCGTGCTCTGCCAAGCAGTTTTGTTTCAGCCAAATTGCCATGTTTCAAAGACGATATTTGTTACAGGAAGGCATTTTTTTGCCATTATTTTTTCTGCTCCCTCAAATCAGTTAGATTGAGGGAAATGTTCAAGATAACCTCTTCAGTAGTGTACCTCAGGATCATCGGGTGTTTCGGCCTTAGGGTTAGGGTTAGGTATATAGATAAAAACGAGTTTCACCCTCATTAATTCCACCCTCATTAGCATATGCGATCTGATTGGCCAAAGCTTACCTGGCCATATCTGGTGAAGCAGAGGTCCGATGTGCACATAACTGGTATCGTTGGATTCAGCAAGCTGTCGTCTTTCAGGTAGCGTGGATGTATGGAGGAAAGGGTGTTGCTTTCAAATCCAATGTGAACGTACAACAGTCTAAAGTGTGACAAAAAGGAAGTCAGTCATCGGTAAAGGCAAAAAATACATCCAAATTAAATAACCTGTGAAATCAATTGTCTTTTTAGCAAGAAGGTATTACAAGCCTGTATAAAAACAGTTTTCCAGCCAGTTTGTGTGTGTGAGTGTGCACAGGAGTGGGTGTGTGTGTGTTTTAATAGATTTTGATAGATTGTTTTGTTTAATTATATTTTAATTATTTGGTTAGTTATATTTTACATTTTGTATATAATGTAATGTTCCTTCACACACATTTGATATTTGTGTTCTTGATATTAACAGTTGTTAGCTATTTGAATCTTTAAACTTAAAATCATCCGCCATATGTCAAGTCACCTTTATTTATATAGCGCTTTTAACAATACAGATTGTCAAAGCAACTGAACAGCATTAATTAGGAAAATAGTGTGTCAATAATGCAGAAGGACAATAGTAAACACTAATTTTTCAGTTAAAGGCAGTTCATTATTGAATTCAGTGATGTCATCATCCAGCTCAGTTCAGTTTAAATAGTATCTGTGCAATCAAGTCAACGGTATCGCTGGATATGAAGTGTCCCCAACTAAGCAAGCCAGAGGCGACAGTAGCAAGGAACCAAAACTCCATCGGTGACATTACAGAGATGCAGAAGCAAGTTTCAGCAGAGAGAAATAGACAGGCTCAGAAAAATGGTTGGTTAGTGAGAAGTGGGCCTGTTCAGTTTTTTTTTATTTTTTTTTTTAGTTTTTTTTAATGTTGTTCGTGTCGATTTTAAGTTTTTTTTTTATTTTTTTTTTTACATAATATAGCATGTCGTTCACACACACTGTAACGTGCTATTGTGTAGTATAGTACATCACAACCATATACAGTTATACCCCAAAAAACATTGATTCTATTAATTTTTCAATGAATAAATTTCTCAACAGTTGTCATTCTTTCTTTCTTCAGAAAGATAATTCAGCTTTACTGTTGATGTACTTCAGTTTCTCAATTCCATCAATTGTAAATTCAGCATCTTGCTCTTTTCCTTGACCACTAGAGGGCAGCAGAGACGTTACAGTGTGACGCTCCTCTTGCACTGCTCTCTCCATCATCGCCTCCAGAATAGAGAGCCTGCATAAAGTCTCATGAAGTTACAGATAACTAAGTGCTGCCTTTTTTGCCACATAACGCGTACTTCCAGAGTGAATTGAAATGTGTTTGTGGGTTTCATTAGGCGGCCGCATGTCAAACATTACAGTGCCGTAGAGAGAAAAGAGATAAACATCTTTGGTTTCCGATATCTGCGTTGAATCAAATGGCTATTCCACAACACATTCACGCACTTGCATTTTTGAAACTCGGTGCCAGTCCATAGCATGTGAACGGCTAAAATAGTCAGGCGACGTGTAACAGTGACATTTCATCTTTAATCAAGCGCTTTTCTATCCTGTTACTCTGCGTGTAGTTGGGGCGTGCTTTTAGTGCAGACAGTCGAGCATGTTAAACTTTCCGTGCGTCTGTTGAGGTCGACCACAGTAGGCTATTACAATGTAATATGCTGCAGAA